ACCCCCGCCACCACCACCACCACCTCCTCCTTTACCATCGTTTCCACCTCCGCCTCCACCTCCACCACCCCACCAACGTCCACCACCACCACGACCTCCTCCTCCTCCTCCACCTCCCTTATTCGTATCCTTTCTATCGATAACATCACCAGTAATATTGTAGGAATTGTTGGCATTTGTTGAACCTTGAACAACATTGCTACTTCCATCTACATTTTCATCACCTCTCAAACACACTACAAAAGCAAAAAAGAAAAACAAGAATGTTAATAAGCTTTGACTAGTAGGAATACAATATTTCTTCATATTGTTTCTTTGCTTGATTAAGATATTTGCACTATTGTCTTCCTTTTATAGTTGTACCTATAGGCAACTAGATATTGAACATATATTACGTACCTACTTGGTTTTTTTCTAGTCATGTTGAAGCTATATATCTAAGTTCTAACGAACTATTGTTGACAGATATAATAAGTATATATTTCTAATATACAATTATTGAATTGCCTTGGATTTTACTCTGTCCCCACTATAACACAATTGAATGGTTGGGACTCATTTTTGGCTTGTATGAAAAGGGAAGGCAACTCATGAATGAGGATCCTAGCACTTTAATTTGCCTAACTTTTTTTAATATAAACATAGCGTGACCAACATTTATAGAAAGTTTGGGCTTTATGAGGTTTTATCAATGGGGCCTACTAGTTTTCTTGTTGGTCCAAGCACTAGTTGGTGTTCAGTATCTGTATTGGTATCTCAATAAATTCAAATATGCGATGTAGAAAAGTCCATTTTGGAGGGAAACACTTTCTATCAGAATTCTTTTCAATATCTAAGTCAAATTTGAAAACTCGAATTAAAACTGAAACACAAGTTTTCTTGTTGGTCTAGGTAGTAGTTTTTTGATTCAGTGTTTAGTATTTGTATTGATATCCCAATTAATTTAGATTTGTGACATGTAAAGCTCATTTAAGGTGGAGACACTTTTTATCAGAAGTTTTTCCAATTTCTGAGCTTGAATTTGAGAATTTTAATTAAAAGTAAGGAAATCTTATTCATTCTATCATAGCCCTCGATAAGTGAGGCACTAGTTGGTTGACTGGTAAGCCTAGCAACTTGTGTACATGCGTAATTACAACTTGTGATGGTGGTGTTAAAACTTTATATGCTAAATCATATTATTTTAATAGTATTAAACAGTGTTTTCAAAAACGTTTTTGGGGCGAGTCTTGGGGGGGGGGGGGGGGGGGGG